TTAGTTCAGCCTGCAGATATTATCGTTGAATTTATTTTTACATCTATCTATTTTATAATAGCAGATCTATTTCCATATTTAAACATTTATTTGTACAGTTCATACTCTACCTTCATGGATCTACTAGCGTCCGAGTGTAATTGATAAATCTTAATTAGTATGTGTTCTTCTAGAATACGCTCTAAATCTGTGATATCATCGAGATTCATGCAGTCGTTCTGGAGATATTTTCAAACAAACATCCATCCATACATCTAAACACTCCCATATATAATAATAATAGAACAATGATTAGCGGGAAGCAGGATATGTTTTATCTTTAAAATATTAGTAAATAGTCGGTGCAAAGCCATACATCTTGACTATTACCTATACAAGCTTACGGGCACAGTCTTCATGATCTCGTTTGCCTTCAACGATTCACTGTTCACACATACAATTGACTCCTACATCCCGGCCGCATGAAAACCTCCTTTATGTCCCACGCAATAAGAACCATCGGAAGTGTATATTTAAATATGTCATTGGCCACTAAAACGTCGAGGTGTTCTCGCTTACAGCCATGCCTTTGTTGACACGACCAGATTTAGATGAGACGCCGCGCCCCGCGGTTACTCTTTATGATTGGGACTGAAAAGGGTTTTCGGTTGTATTTCGGTAGGTCAGCTGCTATTGGTTCTTGGTATATCGAGGACAGAAGCGCTCACATGGCCACACTATAGCAACTCTGTTATTGGATAGAGGGGTATTCAGGATGTCTCGGTTTCGTCCGCTCTATGTTTCTTTGTTGCTATAAAACCGCGATTGTGTTTGGACATTTTTTTCGCATGCTGTTGAATTGGCCGCTTCTTTAGACTCGGAACACAAAAGATGAATTACTATAGTTTAACACGTTCAGAGTAGTATTTAGATTATGTTTTAACTAAGGGTCGTTTATCAAATCTTCGAAACCCGCTGTTTTTAGACGCGAAGCGTCTTTGGTAATATAATGTCATAAAGGTTCATACAAGCGCGTCAGCAACTTTTCTATCTATAGCCAAAAGCAGTCGCCAAACTGTTTGACAACATCGTTGTTATAAAATTCGCTGCAATTTTCAAGATGGTAGCAAATCTATATATTTGACCTGTAGTCGCTAAGTCTGTACAGACTGAATAGACTCGCGGGGACGATTCAACGTTCTACGGAGTGCGCGAAACGTGATTTTCGCGATGAAACCATATATGAGTTTATACTATTAACGTTGCCTTGAGTACTAAAGGCCTTACAGACAATAATTTTGACGGTTAAAAACAATTATATTGGAGTGGGTACAGAGTAATTGAATTTGTATCTCCACCTTTTAAGGTAGTACGTATTTTTACCTAATTATAGACTAAAAAGTACTTTAACACCGTCAAGAATGTAACCAATTGAAACTTTTTCCTTTGACAAATAAAAAACAAACAGAAAGAACAGAGGCGACGTAATTGGTTTTTTTGTGTCGCCAAGTTCGGAATCGCGACACCGGCAAGAGAAAATTGAAATTCTTCTTGGTGTTAAATTCTAGCCGCGTGTTGATTGAACATTCTAGAACGTTTTCACGTACCTTACCAGCGCTTGTTGGTGTTTGTACAGGTAAAAAGAATTTATTGAAAATTGTAAGCATTTGTAAGACTAGCTGTCGCCCGAGACTCCGTCCGCGTGGAATTAATAAAACTTAATCTGTAGCTTATGTGTTCTTCTGCTTTTCTGGAGATACCTGCAAACATCCATCCATCTAGACATTTGCATTTATAATATTTGTAAGATTTTATATTGTAATAATATACAGTAAATACTAATCAAAGGATACCTGTTTTCGAAACCGACCAAGGTATAGTAATTGCTTCAGTTGGCACATAGTACAGTAGAGGAGTCTTATGTTCCGCGTGACAAGTCAAATGTCGGATACCTCGTCTGTACCGCAGAGCCTAATGACTATATTTTGAATTATATTTTCTACATTCGTGTTTTTACCACAATTGTCATAAATAATATGTCAAATCCAGTCAGTCGGGTTCGTTCCTGTTTTAAACTAATTACAGTTATTTTTAAAGCCAAGCTCTATATGTTAACGATGTTAACTTATACATCACCTCCTCCTTATTGGAAAAGGGAGGAATATAACGCTGGCAGCAACTCTGAGTACAACAGTAAGATTCATTTTGATAATTTAAAGGAGACGAATCCATCAAGAATATGTTAGTCGACTGTAAAACTCCTTGACCTTTAATTGCTGATATTATTTGACAGCATGAATCACTATCCTATTTGACAGCCACCAATTACATCCATCCAATACTAATAATTCATTTGACGTACATTGATTGTTCGTCATTCATAATTTAGAGAGGTCAATATGAAGAACCTTCAATGGGTTGTTTACTTAGCGTTCGTATCGATCTAAATCCCTATATAAAACATATCGCCATCCCTTTCATTATCTTGGACAAAACAGAGATAACAATATCTTATTCCTGGCAGCATTAGATATAATTTTATTCGAAGAAAAAGAAACGCAACTACTGTTTCTTCTTCCTTGTCTATGTCATCATATAATTTATGGGGGTGCAAGTTTATCATGGCTGTCGTCACGTGTGTTGTCGTTCCCAGAAGGGCCTCGACGTGTTATTGCCCAAGATGGCCCTACATGTTTCATACACATCCATACATCGTTTCTTGGGAACCACCAAAAACTTACCTCCCTCAAATTCGTCAGAATTAGATAAAAAATCTAATTTCAATCTTATATCGCATGTTTAGAGTTCGTAATATACTGGTTTAAAGTAGTCATAAAACTTGGGTTTAAAAGATTACTTTTGTCTAAACCCAGATTTCACTAATCTTTAGCGCGTTTTTGATTGGAACTACATAAGTAGAACCATCTTTAGGATAAAAATAATTAAATCCTATTGTAAATTAACATCACGTTTTTTTTAAAGTAATAAAAATTTTAAAGACAAATACTCAGGTAAATCCATAAAAACGTGAGCAATACAAAGAAATGCGTCTGTACAGATAATAAAAGATTAACGAAATACGTCACTGTAATGGCGGGAAATGTGGCGCTCGTTTTGTTTTTAAAATTTAAACTGGCCATTATTACAGACAGCAGCTTGTCTTTTGAATATTCTATGATCAATTTTACTATTAAATATTCTTCTATTCACATCGACTCCGGGAATACCTTTCCTCATATTTTAATCAACGAAATTGTTTCGGTTTTTTTTGTTTTTTTTTTTTAAGGTGAACTGGTGGAAGACAAGTCTAATGGAAAGTTGTCATTCAAGTTGACGCCGCTAAAATATAATTTAAAAGGAAACTTCCTATTTGTTAATTTAATTAAGCACTTAATATGTTTTTGGTTTAAAATTAATTTTATTAATATAATTTATGACGTGACTTATAAATATTGAATCTTAGTAATATTATAAATGCGAATGTTTGGATGTATGTTTGTTAGAAGCTATCTCCAGAACGGCTCAACGGATCACGCTGAAATTTGGCTACTAATTAAGTATTTTATTCCGCGTGGGCGAAGTCTAAGGCGACAAATAGTATTGTTAATTATTTTTAAATAATCTTGGATTGAATCTCAGATTAAAGATCGATTAATGGGTTTGATACTGTAATATATTTTACCAAAGCTGGATAAGAATTAAATAAAATTCAATAAGGGGTACAAGCAATACCGGTTCTCGAGATTTTCATACCATAGAGTTATTAACATCGCATTAAAATATTTAACCTTGCTCATTTCTGCATGACAATGTAATCAAAATGCACATTTTATAAATGCATTCAGTTAAAAAGGACCCAGAACTAAGAATTATTTATATTTCTTTATCATGCATTTCTCGTTTTACTGGTTGTGTTAAAGAACCCTAAATCTTTTTACCCAAATACAGTCATAAGAAAAGATTTTAGCTCTCAATGCTCTAGATATACATGATTGAATTCAAACAGTTCCATTCTTTGACATGTACTTTTCTATTATTATTATACAACCAAATGCCATTGACAGCTTCAAGATGCTGTGATGTATGATTTGGTCATTCTCAAGTAGGCGGGCAGTGTTGGTGAGTCAGTTCATACTGTGGGAACTAGTGGCAAAGGCGCAGGCTGCTATGATTCATGTCCCCAGCCGCATCTCGCTCCCCGCCCTGTACTTGGAAACCGGCCAGTGCCTGCTCCATAAGTTTTTATCGCATTAGAGGTTGAAGGTGAGGCGTGCGGCTCGAATGCGGCATCTCGCCTCGCCGCGCCTCACCTCACCTCGCCTCGCCCGCCCCTAGCGGCGCGTAATCACCATCTCTTGATGCCAGATAAGCCCAAATGAATATGTAAACGACGTCCTCCCACGGCCCCGCGCCCCCGCCACACTCGCCGCCGTCGCCGACCCCATAAAATGTAAACGGCCTAATTAATATTTGTTTATTCGCGTCCGTTAGTTAAGAACACTCGCGTTGATTAATACCACAGCCTCCGAGCCCACGCGAAACGCGCGACCGACCGGAACGAGCCGGTCGTGTAATTCCCTATGCTTATAACGGGACATCCAGTTATGGTAATGTTAGCCGAATTTCACGAGCAGTTTCGACGCAGTTTTGAAAGTAGACTTTAATTATGAAGGTAGGCCGACGCTCTCATGGAATATGGATGCGAGGCGGCCGCTTATAAAACGAAATCCGATTAATTATGTCGGTTTCCTACCGGTCGGCCGCTCGTAACGAGTTTTGCGGGCGCGCGTCGCCAGCGGGCTGCTCTTGAACATCGATCCATCGAGATATCGGTGTCGCGGACGCAGCGGTCGCTGCGGCCGGGCCCGTGCTCAGCGTCGCGCCGAGCCCTTATCTCACCCAACGCATGAATAATTCCCGAGAGGAGCGGTTATCGATCGCACACGTCGTTTTTATTTATACGGCGCGGGTGGGCGAGGCGCGTATTAGTAAACAGGCGCCTGCGCGGTGCGCACACTCACCGACTTGTAGCACGCTCTCGACGCAGCCGGCTTCCAGCAGCTTGAGGCCGCGGCAGAAGGCGATGTTGCGGTGGTCGTCGGGCGGCGCGCGCGCCAGCGACGAGTACATGCAGATATCGCGCTCGTCCCGCGGGAACGACCAGTACACGACGCGCCGTTGCACCGGCTCCGGGATGCGCTCGTAGCGCTCCTCGATACGCTGGAACGGGATCGCCGCCGCCACGATCTTCGCCGTGATGTCGAGCAACGACGGCGGGGCGCGCGGCCGGCAGCACGCGCGTGGCGAGCACGCAGACATGGTGCTCGCTCGGCCGCTCGGCGCGGACTGACGTGCGGCGTGCGGCCGCCTCCCCCCGCGGAAGGCCCCCTTTGCCCCTCGCCCTTGCTCGCCAGATCGAGGATGCTCACCCAAAATGACACACTGCGATAAATTATTCATTTGGCGGGCATAATGTGAGATATATTATTAAAAGTTGGCATTTTGTGATATTCTTCGACTGCTCCAATATCGATCTACTCATCATAAAGCCGACTAGATTGTCCTATGTTTATGCTTATGCTATGATTTCGATTGCACCGACGCGGAAAAGACAATACATAACTGAACGCTTCTATCTCTAAGTTATTTTATCTTCACTTATTAAACTTCACGTCTTATAATAGTAATATAAAGTAATTCTATTTTAATACTATAGCAAACCCGAAATAAGAGCGGTAATAGCAGTAAGGCATAAAAAATACAGGCAAAAAATGGACCTTCCTAATCCATTCCTGCCTTACCTCCTCACATTACACAAACGAAGGGGAAAGGCCGGGGGCGGGGCGCTGCGGGGCGAGAGGCGCGGCGGTGGCGGCGGGGGAGCACATTAACAGCTGACGGCTGCGGGGTTATGGCGGGGTGCGCGGGGCGGGGACGGTCGCGGCGCACGTCAGGTGGCGACCGGCGAGCGACTCAGCTGAGATTCACCGCGACAGCGCTGAAGCTGCTGTCGGTGCAATACGTACGTTGACCTTTATTTGTTTATGTTTTTTTGTCATATTGTCTGAGACACAGGTATTATTTGTTGTAGAGCCAGGTAGAAAATCTTGTTTAAATATTAAAAAATATTTTTACTTACGAAATAACGTATTGCTTTATTATACAGCGAATTTTTACTAACAAATAGTTATTTTATTTACACCAAAATACCTAACGTAGAAAAAACTACAGAACCAATATAATTTCTATCTAGTTCAAACTCAAACATCTTGTTATACTAGTTTATTGCATGTTTTAAAACTAATGCAACTTGTTTATTTGTACTATGATAATTTTAATGTTAATTTACCATTATTTATATACCTAGTTATTTATAACAATAATTATTTTTTCTTACATACAACTATATTCTAGAAAATTACCCACTAATTACTTTATAACTTAGTTTTATAAGTTGAAAATAAATTAATATACCCGTTTAAATATAAAAGTAGATTGTAAAGCGCTTCAAGCGCTCGACGCTTCAAATATCTATGTCTCGACGGAGATCGAGGAAATCCCGACAGTTATATACGTAGTATATACATAGTATACGATGGCTACGTTCTGTTATACATAACAATAAATAGTAAAATTACGTGTAAGCAAACAGCTGATCTCTATTAAAAGTGAAATTATTATGAAATACACTTTTGTTTTTTAACACAATTTTCTTAGTGTCCTATTACTGTTGTATTGTCAGAAGACTTATTGCGAACCTTAGGAAGTCTACTTATGTACTAAATGTACACTAAGGGTGCACTTAACGAATTCACGCGTTACACGAATGGGTCGTCACGAACAGTGCTACCACGACCACACAGACAAGTCAAATGAAACCAAATTCGCGTTACGTCTGATGAGTCTGTATCGTATGCCTAATTTACACCTCTTTACCTTCCCACCCCTTTTCATATAAAGAAGGGATGGGAAGGATAAGTGGATTGACACAGTAGAGGACTTCCTGTTCCCTTCCCGTCGCATCTGCAATTGTGGATGTCTATGGGTAGCGGTTGCTTTGATTTTTAGGCGAATCCAGGTGGCATCTTCCTCGTTTATCACCTTATAATATAATATTTAAAAAAAACATTTCTGTACTAAAAATCATATGAGTAAAATAAATATAATAGATTATTGTCTTAACGTCACTTCATCAGCACACGTCTGTGAGCGTTTTGAACATTAAACTTAGAAACTGTTTAAAGCAATATTCATGTATGTTTTAACACAAATGTTTCGATCAGTGGAAACTCACTGTTTTACGGTAATTTAACTAACTAAATTTTTTTTCTGACGTAAAAAATAAATTTTTAACGTTACAATTTCCTATCACGAAAGTCTAAATCAGGCTTTGGTTAGCAAAAGCGTAGAATTTGTAGAAGTATTGGAAGATTTGTCCTATGGTTTCATGCCCTTTAGAACATGACAAGAATGTATAGGAATTGATTCTGCAAATTGTTCATTTTTTTATATTGAGATTCGAACCCCACGACCGCAGTAAGTTGGATACAACTGCTAAGTCAAAGGGTATATACTGTACGTACTACTAATAGCTTGGCGCTCTCACTAAATGCCGTCCTGATCGGGTCATGATTCATTCACTCGTCTCGGGGGGCTGGGTGGTAGGGAGGCAGTATGGGTAGGGGGCACGCTGTATATACTCCCACAAGAATAATAGCGAAATTACCTATTTACCTGGTTCATATAAGTCTATGGACACAATAAAATTCTTGACATTGACCTAAATTATAAATGGTGATGATTTTTCCTTATAATACTAGCTGTCGCTCACGACTCCGTCCGCGTGGAATTCAAAACAACTTAATAAATAGCCTACGTGTCCTACCAGACTATGCTATACATCTGTACGTTTGAGCATGATCCATGCAGCCGTTCTGGTGATACCTTCAAATAAACATTTATCCATCCATCAGAACTTTCGCATTTATAATATTAGTAACATTGTATAACATCTATATATAAAAGAAAGTTGTGTTAGTTACACTATTTATAACTCAAGAACGGCTTTACCGATACGGCTGGAAATTGGTGAGGAGGTAGCTTAGAGCCAGGAGACGGACATAGGATACTATTTATTCATTTTTTTTCGAATTTTTGCCTTGAAGAGCTCCTTTTTATTTAAGTCATCTATATATTAAGTTTTTATATATCCACGCGGGTGACAGCTAGTATATTATATAAGTAAGTAAATAATGATTGTAGCGGTGCTTAAAGAGCTTCAAATATTACAATTCAGGAAAAAAAAACAGTATGTAACTGCTTTTCTATAGTCTTGTCGTATATCTTTATTTTGATCAGATCTTGTGAGAAATAACTAATAGGAACGAGACATTACTTAATTGGATGCACTAAAAATTGTATTTTGGAAATATACGTATTTCACTAAACACTAAATCTGCAGAATAAAGACGTAAAATAAACTACATTCGAGTCTTATAAATCTAAACTTAAGCTAAGATAAATTAATAAATATTTTCTATTTTTGTCTTTATGGACTGAATTCTTTTATTATATTATTTTGTTTCAATCTCTGTTTCTTATAAAATTATATTATCTTTTCAAAAATGTAATACGGTTTAATTCAAAACATAAATATTGGTATTAATCGAAACAAAGCAGACATTTTTTCAACTCATGTCGTAAAACTTTTCGTATCCGCGAATCGATATCGCGTTCCGAATTTAAACTGTGTGTCCCCGCCATTTTTGTCGGATCTAATGAACTATTAAACTGCAATTTGGCTGCGCGTCGCTAGCTAGATGGCGCTGTGCGCAAGTATTGATCGCGCCGAGGGGGCCAACTTCTAGCCATCAAGTTCTGCCAAGTCACGGAATGTATTGCTAGCTATTGTGGCGAAAAATGAGGGGGGTTGAAATGGGCCAAATGCCCCCCCCCTACGAGCGCTTTTGACGGTCGAAGCCTGTTCAGATATCGAATCGTGAGTCGTTAGTTCTCGTTTATGATATGACAGAGCGCTTGTATTATTACTTTGCAAAATTTTGGTGAGACTGTTGAAAGTGAAGCATTCATTTTTACAGTTATTGAGAGATGTAAAATTTTATAATCAACTAAACATTTTATTTAGTATAACATTGTTGGCAATGTAATACAAGAATGTAATATTACAGGGATAATAAATATTTATATATTTATGAATAAAAATTTATGTAAAACTTCATTTACAATTTTTATTCTGCCAGAATGTCATCATGTAAAATTTATAAGTCTTGAATATGTAACGAACTTATTATGCGCTATGCATATTTCTATTGGAATCTATAATTGAGGTGTAGAATAATTTATAGATTCATTATCAATACCGGGTAACTTTTCTCTACGTTTAATTTTTAACTTCATTATAAAAACTCGGTACAACGCCATCTTTATGTTAAAATATTCATCACAAAACAGACCATGGAGTAGACATTGTTGTGCTTACTTAACGATAGATGTCACTATTTTGCTTAAAAATAAAATATTACCTTTTTTAATATAATAATTTTTATTACGAAAAAAATTATCTTAAAATAATAGTTTCTTTTATTGCTTTATTTACAAAAGATTCAATATAATTTAATAGGAAACATACTTTTAAAACTTTATATTTTTAATTGCTTTTAAACAATTAGTTATGGGCCAGGCATTTCGTTATATCTGACAGGATATGTTAGTTGATTTCCGCGATCCCAGGAGTACAATTCCTGTAACAAGGACAAATATTGATCAGTAAAGGTCTACTGGCGCCCTGGGCGAGATTAATACGACACCCTCTTTTTTGCAATGAGTTTGGGGGTGTTAACAGGGTTATGTGTAACTGCGTAGATATCGACTCTTTCTCTCCAGCGCCTTGGTGGTCGCCCAACTGCGCCTTCTCTTGCGCCGCGTCGGCCCGGACCTAGTAATGTACCCGATAGGGATGAATTCATCGCGGCAATTGCGGCTGTTATTTGCTTAGACATTCTTGATCGAGAAATTACACATATCCAGAATAGAGATGTAATACTTTATATTTTAGCAGTAGTACCTTGTGTATATGGTCGTATCCTAGCTGCGTGGTCTTTCGGAATGGATTGGTAAACTGCAATGAGACCTCTAGCGGCTTGCTGAGGTACAAGTCTATGGCAACAGAGACTTTACTTTCCCGCTCCGTCGCCGAATCCAATGCGTAAAGAACGCCGCATACTATAAACATTTCACCCACCTGCAGGATAATTATACAGATTAAATACACAGATTAAATAATATTAATAAAATATGTTAACGATTTTTTATA